CAGCCAGGCGCGTCTTAGCCAATCAGACGCGCCTGTCAGTTGCCGAGCTGTCAAACGCGAGCCAGCCGAGTATAAAAGAGAGAACAACTCCAACGGCTCCCTGATCTACTTCATAGCCGCGGAAGTTACCGGTCTACTATTCTGACCTTCCGATCTACTGTTCTGACTTTCCTATCTACCGCGCACAGCTACCAGCCTGTCCGGTCTACTGCATTGTTATCGTTACAACGTTACTTGTTATATTAAAGTGGTTACTGTTACCTTCGAGCCTCTGTCCTTCCTTGTGAAGATATAATACTTTCCTCCTTTGTCATTCTCTTTCTCTCTCTTTTCATATAGCAGTCACCTTGTAAGAAATGCTGCACTAAACCACTTGTTAAACCTGTGGTGGTTAGCCTGGCCATGCTAGTCTGGAAGCAGGTAACAATTAATTCATTGAAGTGAAAGTGAAAGGCTTGTTAGTTCACACTTCATATTTGGCAAGCAAACAGCAGGGCATTCTGGATAACAAGTAGGAAGAGCTAGCTTAGTTAAGTGACTTTTTACTATAAAGTTAATGATTAAAAGCAGAACAGAACAACAATGACTTTTGCTTTTCATCTTTTCTGATTGTTCACTTTTGTGCTAAATCTGCACATAGTTGTTTATCATTTTTTTTTCAAATATAAGCTCATCTGTACACATTTGTCTCTTGTGTATTTTTCATCCTACAGTTTCAGTTGAATCTAAATTATCAAACTAAATAGTATCATCATTAAATATTACATTGTAGAAAGTGTGCTATAGCTTAATTTCTTTAAGGTTTCAGAACTCCTGAGATCCAATAACATTGATAATATAAATTAATTCAGCTGCAGGTTGAGACATTCAGCTTTTTTGGCTGAAGGGGATCTCAAAATCTATCATCCTCAACTAACAAAAAGTTTCCATTTTTCATTGTTTCTACTTTTCCCTCTTGCTGTTTAACTGTAGGCAAAATAAGGAATCTAAATTGTGTATCTTTAAATGTACTCAGCCGGTGTAATTGGTTGCATTTGATTGCAAACTTTGCTTCAGAGAATGAACAAGAGAATGAACACAACATCCTCTGAAACTTCTTGAAACAGTTGTGATATTCTTCAGTTGTAGGTTAAGGTTCTGGAGGACAGATATGCAAGTCCAGTAAAAGATACAGCTTTTTTTAAGCAGAAGAAGATAAATTTAATGGTTGATTGGGATACTCTGAGGCTTCCTCCTCTATGCAGGGCATTGAGCTGGAACATGTCCGATGTCTTTTCTATCTCTCTGATTATATTATTTTTTCTTAATATATATTTTTTCAAAATACTATTTCTACTTATAAAAGAAGTTGAAAAACAGTTGGAAAGGGTTTTGACCATTCCTTTTTGCCACACAGAAATGTGATGGATTAGAAAACAACACCCACACAAATTGGGTAAAAGTTGAGTTTATTAAGCAAAGGAGTTTATTAAGCAAAGGAGCATAATGACAAGAAATATCCACAAACAATGCAGGAAAAAAGGACGGCATATTCAATAAAGGAGCTTAAATGTATAACAAAATTTCATATCCCTTAAGCTGAAATCCCCTCACCTTCATCAAAGGAAGATACTGATGTTGCCTAGGTAATTCCATTAACGACATCTTTCTGAAGTACACTTATACTAAGCAGAAGATGGTATACATAACATCAAATCTATATAGCGTATTTGGTATGCCTTATCAATAGCCTTGATGAAATTCAATCATTCTCAAGCATATTTCATGCTAATGTACATCTATTTACACTCAGGTGTTGGACCAAGGAGCATAGCTCATCTCTTCCAATTTGTATGAAGTTGTGAGATTTCTGAAAAATTATATGATATTTTATTGGAATTTTGCATCATCCTAATTATATTTCTTATCTTTGCAATTTCTTGTGATTGTCAAAGTACAATTATATGAGATAGTGCCAGCTTATCCATCATACCCACATTGCCAGATATCTAATCTTTTCTAAGAACTTCTAAGGAAAAGAAATAGTACTCCTGAGATAAAGAATGAGAAAAAACCAGTTTGATATGGTGCTTAAAGCTTCAGGCTAGGAACAGGGAACTCATGAGTTCTAATCCATCCTATGCATGGCAAACCCCTTTGGAAATAGCTTGCCAAGAAAAATGCATGGACTTGTGCAAGAAGACACAGGAACTAAGACTGACTCAAAGGTGCAAAATATCAAAATGTATGTGCAAATGACCATTTAAGGAGAGAAGAAGGTAGAATCCTGTGTACTTGTGGAAAAACTAAAGCTTTAACTAGCCATATTATGTTGAAGAATTAAAGGGGAAGCCAATTCACTTAGGAAACTACTGGGAAAAATAGACCACATAATTTAAACTTTCCTTTTGTTGCAGATTTTTTCCATAATAACATTGTATCTTGATCCTTACTTCATTAAATTGGGATTTGTCAAGTTGTGGCATGTCAGAAGTTGCCAGACATCTACATTTAGCATCTATAAAGTGAATTGATAGTAACTAGGAATGCAGGATTTTTGCTGAGCAACTACCAGAATTCAATTCTTCTAGATGAAGAGGTTGAATCTCTCTCCATAGAAGCTATGTCTCCGTTTCTAACACTATTTTAGTCAAAGAAGTAAAGGAAATGACAGGAAATATAAATTTCTGTTGAATAGAATATAAATACTCTGTTTCCTCAAAAATAAGACCTCCCCAGAAAATAAGCCTAATTGGGCATTGGAGTGCATGGACTAAAATAAGCCCTTCCCTGAAAATAAGCCCTCCACAAAAATATTGCAACATAGCAGCAGCCATGAGGTGACCATGCTTGCTGCTTCCTACACCACAAAAATAATAAGACCTCCCTGAAAATAAGGCCAAGTGCTTATTTTAGAGGTCAAAAGAAAATAAGATCCTGTGTTATTTTTGAGAAAACCTGGTAGCACTAAAACATTTTTTTAGAATCTCAAGAGTTTAGAAAGAACAAATATGATATTCTTATTTCTCATGCTATAGATGATTGGGTTGAACAGGGGTGGAAGAAGGGAATATAGAACAGTCAACCCAAAATCTAAGTGTGATGGAGTGTTAGTGGGACGCCTCAAATAGCCAAAAAATCCAGTTAATAAAAACATAAACACTACTGTCAGATGTGGAATACAGGTTGATAAGACTTTTTGTCTCCCTAGTTCAGAAGGGATTTTTAGTACAGCCTTGAAAATCATGGCATATGATATGATAATAAAAATAAAACAACCTATTCCTACAATGATACTCACCACAATAACTCCAATCTCAATTAGATTGAAACCAGAGCATGATAGTTTTAGTAAATGGGGAATTTCACAGAAAAATTGGTTGACAACATTAGAACAAAAAAGGTTTGAAAAAGTGCCAGTGGTATGCAATGTTCCATAGAGAAGACTTATAATCCACACTAAAATTATTATTTCAGTGCAGGCTTTCCAATTCATCACCATCTCATAGTGCAGTGGATTGCAAATGGCAACATACCGATCATATGCCATGACTGTCAAGAGGGAGAAATCAGAAGCTGCAAATGAAACAAAGAGAAAGACTTGGGCCACACATCCTAAGTAAGAGATGTGTCTAGTGTCCATGAGGGAATTCACTATGGATTTTGGAACAATAACAGAAACTGAGCCCAGATCCTGCACAGCCAAATTCATCAAAAACCAGTACATGGGGCTATGCAGTCTATTATCTATAGCTACTGCAGAGATGATAAGAAGATTTGCTGTTATAGTTGACAAATATAACACAAAGAATAAAAAGGAATGTAAAATCTGCAAATGCCAACTTTTTGAGAATTCCAGGAGCAAAAAGTAAGGCACTGTGGTTTGATTATCCATAAGCTTTGATTAGCTTACGACTTAATTTAATTTAACTCAATTTAATTAATAAACAGAGATTTGGGATGTAGTTAGGTAAAAATAGTGAGCATATATAATTTGCTACAGTTCTGAGATCAGAATGGAAAAATAGAGAGAAAACATTGAAAGAATAAAAACACCATTCTGAAAATGGATGCAATAAATTTTGTGTCTAATTACAGCATTATTTGTATATTTCAAATTATCTTTGACTAAACATCAAATCATAAATTACAATTTTCTTTCATTTATTTTCCTTGTTGTATATATTAAAACTTTGGCCTAAGACTTGAAGGAACTTTTCATGTAACTTTAACTAGAAATTCCCAGGAGTTTTTGGACCAGTAAGTGTCTCTTATCACTCTTAGAGAATTGTTACAATAATGAAAAATTGAAGACAGAAATCCAATATAGAAACAATAGAATTAGTTGTTATGTCTTTTATTTTGAAAAATTGAAGGAATGGACTTTCAATTGGCTGAATTTGTATAGCACACATAAAGAAAACAAATGACACATACACACACATACAGAGAGAGAGAGAGAGAGAGAAAGGGAGGGGGAAAGAGAGAGAGAGATTTTAGCAGTCGGTCTTGGAATGTTGTCATTGACAAAAATAATGCATCAAGCCAGTGTTTTTCACCTTGACACTCTTTGTGCATTGACTTCAACTGGCGTATTCCAAGAGTTCAAATCCATCTGCTTTAACATTGCCAGGGTTGAGAAACTCTGCCCTTAAGTAAATAAATATTAGTTGACAAGCAAATAATTGAATGAATACAAACATACACACACACACGTGTGTGTGTGTGTGTGTGTGTGTGTGTGTGTGTGTGTGTGTGTGTGTATATATGCCATATGCTCCCACTCATATTTGGGCATACCAAATGCTTTGATAAAACTGTGTGTGTGTGTGTGTATGCATACGCACAAACACACACACACACACACACACACACACACACACACACACACACGTGTGTGTGTGTA